GAGGAGAGAAGGGGAGAAAGGAGAGGGGGAAGGAGCAAATGGAGGGGAAGGAGGGAGGAAAGGAGGAGAGGAAGGTGAAAATGGAAGGGAGGGGGCACGGGCAAATCCCGGGGAGGGGGAAGCCAGCCCGGGAAAGGGCCCCCGCCCCCTCCCCTAGCCTGGCCGGCCTGGGGGGGCCACAGGGGGCGCGGACTGGGTGGAGAAAAGGAAGCTGGCCATCGGGAGAAGTGGGGGAGGGGAGGGCCTGATTGGGGGGAGGGGGTCACCCCCTTCCCCCCTCCCCCCAGAGCCTTGGCCCTGCCCTGGCTGAGGCTAGGGCCTGGAGTCTTCAAGCCCTCAGCCCCCACAGGAAAAGCATGCTGGGGGCCGGGCAAGGCTGGGCAGTGGAGGGGCTGGGGGTGGGGATAGGGTGCTGGCAACCCCAGAGATGCTGGGAAAGGGGCAGATGAGGTGGAGGGATGGGAAGGAGAGAGGGGTGGAAGGAGAGGAGCAGGTGGAAGAGGAAGGCGGAGGAGGGTGGGGTGTCCCGGGGGCGGCCACAGAGGGCCTCAGCGGGGAGGGCCTGGCCACGGACTCCTGGTCCCCTGCAAGGAGCAGTAGCCGCCGCCTGCTCCGTGTCCCCAGCTGGGCCTGCCTCCCTGCTGCTGGCCACCACCACCGCTGCTGCCACCGCCACCGCTCTTTCTCCCCTCTGAGGCCGCCGCCTGCCTGCCTGCCTGCCCGCCCGCGCTGGGTCCTGGAGCGCAGGGGGTGGGGGGAAAGAGATGGAGAGAGGGAGGCAGTGAGGAGGGCGGGCAGGAGGAAGGGAGGGAGGCTGGCGAAGAGCAAGGAGGGAGGGATGTCGGAGGGGGGGGGAGACCGTATTGGTCGGGGCTGGGGGGGGCCCCTGCACGGAGAATGCTGATGAGAGAAAGGAGCTGCATTGGATGGAGGGCCCACCCCTGGGCCACCCCTTCTGCCACACCATGCCACCGCCCTGCCCAGGCAGCCTAGGGCACAGGAGCCCTGGAAATGAGAAGCAGCAGGAAGATCTGGCTGTGGAGATGAGGAGAGAGGGCTACAGAGATGAAAAATGCAGAGAAACACAAAGACAGCCATCAAGACCTGGAGAGGTGGGCCAAGGCCCGCCAATTCCATAAGGACAAGGACAGGGAAAAGGCCAGGGATAAGAAGGGCCCATGGAGACAAGGAGCAGCCCAGGGACAAGTAACTTTTACCTCAGAAACAAGAAGCAGCTATGGACACAGAGAGCCCCCTGCAGATGGGGAGAAGGCCAGAGACCAGAGAGAAGCCATGCACACAAGCAGGAGGAGCCAGCCACAGAAAGGGAAACCAGGAAGCAGACCACAGCAGCAGGGAGAGGACCAAGAGAGCTGGAGGAGGTCACTGAAACAGCAGGGAGGCCCACAGACACAAGGGAGCCACAGAGACTAGGATGTGGCTGACAGACACAAGAGGCCAACTGAGGCAGGCACAGCCAACCCTGGAGACAACAAGAAGCCCCTAGAAATAGAAGTAAACCCCATAGAGGGGAAAGATAGAGGGAGGGTATAGGAATTCTCCACAATGTATACAGAAATCTTTGGGACCCACAGAGATGAGTGGGTGGGGAGAAGAGGGCTTCATTTTCTAGTCACCTGAGCAGGAGGCTGTGGAAAGGGGGGATGACACAAAGGCAGGGAGCTAGAGGGCAGAGCTAGAGCTGGGGGACTCCCTCGCTCCCTCCCTCCTAGGAAACATTCTTCTGCCTCTCAGAGGGGCCCAGAAGGGCAGGGGGATGGAACAGTCAGCACAGATCTTGGAGTGGGGGTGGGTGGTGCACGGCTGGGTGGGGGGTGAAATTTGGGGGGAAGGAACATGACAGTTGGCGCTGAAGGCTGAGCCTGTGACTCACCACCACCCCCATGCTCGTGATGGGGAGGAGACACTGAGACACTCACGTGCAGCCCCCAGCACACGTGACCACATGCTTCTCACACACAAGTAGCACAGGGCAACTTTCAGACCACACACAGGTCTGGCATTGGAGTCCTCTACAGCTGGCAGATGGGGGCATTCCCAACATATATGTGACACATCTCACTCTACCGGATTACCAACATTGCATATGCCACCTCATTCTATTTGGGCAACACCTACAGCCTCCTAATGCCCACCCTCAACTCCAGTCAGGCCAAAGTCCAAGACTCCTGCATACTTCCAGGCCTTTGCTTATGTAAGGACTCCAATGCAGAACACCTATCCTCTCTAAATGCAAGCTGTCCCAGAAGTCCTGGGCCAGGGCTACCGCATCCAGAATGCCCGACCAGACCTCCACTTACTCCTATACTGTCTGGAGACCTAACCAATCCAAATTTAAGTTGGGAAGTCCAAGCAAAAGGTTCTACCAGAAAAGGGCCTAAGAAACTAAGATGAATGCTCAGATTTTTGAGAGGGTGAAGGAGGCCTCAGCAGGAGCAAAACCCTGCCCAAGAACACAGAACCTATCAAAGGTTGAGCCTAGCTTGTGCTTCCATGGCTCCCACCCCAGGTGACTTCATAAGGGCTAACACAGACTGTGTTAGAACAAGCAGGCCCAGCCTTAGAGGTTACAAGATTCCTACCAACATCTTTGTTCTACTTCTTGTGTTCATCCATTTGATATTTGACCACAGACTATCCCATCTGTCAGGTGGTAAAACATATGAATCATGAGTGTAGACCTGGCAGGGAGCAGTGGCTCACCTCTGTAATCCCAGCTATGTGGTAAGTGGAGGATTGAGGTTCAAGGCCAATCTAGGCAAAAAGTTAAGAGACCCCAAGTCAACAAAAATCCGGGTCCAGCCTGGACAAAATGAGACCCTACCTCAAAAATGACCAAAGCAAAAAGGGCTGGGATTTGGATCAAGTGGTAGAGCACCTGCCTAGCAGTTCAAACCCCTGTACAAAAAAAAAAAAAAGTGTAGCCCTTATGGAGATCAACTCCTGAATTGGAATCCTGGCTCTCTTTTCCTAATTATGGGAACTTGGACAAGTTACTTAACTTCTCTGGACCTCAGTTTCTTTATAAATTCAGCATTTTTTTTTAATTAAACAATGCATGGAAAGCACTGAGTATGATACCTAGCACGTAACACAGGAGGTGGCAGCTATTACTGTTAGGCTCCTTGAAATACTAATAAAAATAACTCCTAGGTAACTTTTGTTGCCTCACAACCCCTAAAGACAGAAGCTGTTATTCCCATTTGACAGATGAGGCACAGGGGAGTTGCCTCAATCAGTCACACCTACGAAGTGCCAGGACTTCTGGGGTTTTTTTGGTCATACTAATACTGGGGTTAGAACTCAGGGCTTTGCACTTGTTAGGCAGGTCCTCTGCCACTTGAGCCACACCTTCAACCCCAGGGCCAGGATTTCAATCCAGGCAGCTTGATTTAATCCCACAAGTGAGTCTGATGTTAGGAGAGTTTATTTATTTATTTAAATATTTCACTTTTTTTTAATTTGACGGTACTAGGGTTTGAACTCAAGGCCTCATGCTTGCTAGGTAGGCACTCTTACTGCTTGACCCACATGTTAGGGAGTTTAATGAAAAGAAGACCCAGTTAGAAACCAATGAAAGGACACAGCAAAAGTTCTTCTCCACAGCAGTCAGACTGAACTCTGACTCAGTTGGGTCCCCCAGTGGCTTTTTGGCCTCAGATTCGTAAATGATCCAGCTCTGAGACTCTCTTCTTCTGAGAAACGAAAAGAGACTTCTTCCAACTCAGTTGTCCTTGGATAAGGGATACAACTTTCTGAAAACTTTTTTCCTTTGGGCGGTACTGGGGTTTGAACTTAGAGCCTTGTGCTTGCTAGGCAAGTGCCCTACCACTTGAGCCACGCCCCCAAACCTTTTTGCTTTATGTTTTCGGATAGGTTTAGCCTTTGTTTTTTTTTCCCCTTGCCCAGCTAGCATCCTACCTACACCTCCCCCCCCCCCAGCTGGGATTGCAGACAAGAACCACCTAGCCTGGCTTGCTGGTTGAAATGGAGTCTTTCTTTTTAACCAGGCTTGCCTAGAACCTCCATAAACCGGATCTCCACCTTCCCAGTAGCTGAGATTACAGCCACGAGCCACTGCACCCAGCCTAAAAACACTTCCAGTATGACGGAGCCAAGGAAGGCCAGAGGGGAAGGGAAGGAGGGCTTCCCTTCCCAGAGCCCTGGCGGTATGGGACCCACCCTCCCTTCGCTCTCAGCAGGCTGTCCTCAGGTCCCCCACCCCTGCGCACACACGCCCTTCTTCAAGCTTCCTGCCCTTTCCCTCCCTCCACTTCCTCGTATCCTTCAACTTTTCTTCGTCCCTCAGATTCCCTCTGTCCTAACACTTCATGTCCATCCTCCTTTCCGCCCCCTTGTTTTTTCCCTCTTTCCTTCCTTCCTGCCTTCATTCCCCCTTTTTAATAAAAACAGTCTGGAGGCTTGGTTTCCCCCTTAACTCCCTCCAATATGATAAATGCTGCAGCGTTCCCTCTCCCCCTTCACGCTAAGTGGCGTTTTATTTTCTAGGGCTTCTTAGGCCTCAAGCGCCCCACTCGAGCCCTCGGAGAGTCGCCCGTCTCAACGGCCCAACCCCAACACCGACTCCCTCCCGGCGTCCCCAAGATGGCGCTCCCAAGATGGCGCCCGCAGCATCGGCCCGCCTCCTGACGTCATCACGCTGCTGTCTGCTCAGCGCGCCCCTCTCGAGACGTCGAAGGCGGAGTCGAAGAGGAGCTAGAGGAGGAGCATCCTCCAGGGAGGCTTAAGGGGGCGGGCACTATGAGCCCGCAGGCGGGTCGGTGAGGGATCGTCGCTAAAAGATTGGTTGGTCGCTGTAGGGGATCCCGACTCTCTGTACTATTGGCTCAGGACTCAGCAATATGAGCATCGATTGGCCGAACAGCAGGGGCCAGACGGGTGATGATTGGGCGCGTCGTGCCGTCTGCGCGGCAGCCGAGGAGGAAGGTGGGAGGGGCGTTGCTGCGGGTGGCTGAGAGCGAGAGCGAGGCTGCGGAGCAGGCGAGAAGAGACGGCAGGAGCTAGAGAGGACGCGGCACTAGGGTGGCCGTGCAAAGGGAGCGGCTGCCCGGGCCCGGGCCCCCGGCGTGCGAATCGGCGGAGGCGGGTGAGTGCCAACGGGTGTGCGGAGGGCTGGCCTGGCCTCCACCCCACCCCCCGCAACCTGCTCGCGTCACTTGGCCTGCGCACTGATGGCCGGAGGGGGCGCGCGCCAGGCAGTGCGGCACCAACGGCCGCGGGAGGCGCGGCGGGGGCCGGGCCGGGCCGGGGCGGCGGGTGGGGAAGGGGGCTAGAGATGAGTGCGGGGCTGAGTGAGGAGGGGCGGGGCTCGGGCTGAAGGCCTGGGAGGATCTAGGAGGGAAGAGGAGGTCTTAGAGGTTCTCTGGAGGAGGACTTCTAGGCTGTATGGGCTGTCCGCAAAGGGCTCGGGTGGTGAGATGGATGAGGCCAGGACCGGAGGGGGGCGGTTAGAGAGCGCTTGGGTGCAGGGGCGGGGTTGGGTACGAGCTCTTGGGTGTGTGGGGGGGAATCTGTGCCTGGAAAGAATTAGGGCAGTGAGCGAGGTCTTGATGTAAAAAAGTGGTAGGAAACCGGTACGCTTAAAAGGAAGACTTAGAGCTAAGGGAGAGGTCCAGGTGTGAAAAATAGGGTTAAGTGAATGTAAAGAGGTGTTACACCAATGTGGTGGGGTGGGGTTGAGAACCCTTGGAAAGTGTTGAGGGGGAGGGAGTCTGTAGAAAACGTTATATTCGTGATAGAACTCCCTTGGAGTCCTGGGAGGGTTATTTATTTATTGGTGGGACTGGTGTCTGAACTCAGGACTTTACACTTGCAAAGCAGACGCTCTACTGCTTGAACCACACCTCCAGCCCATTTTTCTCTGTTTATTTTGGAGATGGGGGTCTTGAGAACTTACTTGCCCAGGCTGGCCTCGAACTGCCATTCTTCGGATCTTAGTCTCCCAAATGGCTGGGCCTACAGGGGTGCCTGGCCGTTTTTGGCTTTTTGGTGGTGGTACTGGAGTTTGAAATCAGGGCCTCATGCTTGCTAGACAGGCCCTCTACCATTTGAGCCACTTCACCAGCCTTTTGTGTGTGTGTGTTTGCTATTTTCAAGGTAGGGTCTTGCATACTATTGGCCTGGGACTTCCTCCTGATCGCTGCCTCCTGAGTAGCTAGGATTACAGGTGTGAACCACCGCTGCCGATCAGCTTTTTGTTTTTGTTTTAGGTATAAGTAACTAGGCCAAGGCGAAGATAGGATTCAGGTATGCCTTAGGGTGTGAGGTGCTGAGAAGGGAGGGAAAGGGAAGAAAGATTTGTGCTACATAGAGGGGATGGTCTGGGTATTCATGGGAGAGGAATATAAGAATGAGATGACACATTGATAAGTTGGGGGTCTGGGTATGAGGAAGATGGGGTTTCTACTAGTTAGGGTGATGGGATCCTGTATGAGAATTGCGGATCTGGGATCTGGAAGGGGATTTGGCCATTGGGAGGGGTGTGTTGGGAAAGGAGCTTAAACCATTGTAAATACAAGTCTTGATATCCCTGGACTAGGTTACATTGTGGGGATCTTTTTGCAAAGGAGAGGAATTAGGTTGATATGAAGTAGGGGTTTAAGACTCTCTGGAATGGGTTAGAGTGGATTTGGGTCTTTTTGCAAACAAGAAAGGTAGGCTGAGTGTGGCAGTACACACCTGTAATCACAGCACTCAGAAGGCAAAAGCAGGAGTTTGAGGCCAGCCTGGGCTATCCAGACCCAATTTAAAAAAACAAACAAAAAAAAAAAAAGAAAAGGAAAGGGAAAAAAGTATAGGAGGGAGGAAAGGAAGGAAAGAAAAAGGTTTATACTATGAAGGGAGTTCTGAGTATCCCCAGAATGTGTTACAGTTGGGGTGGACTTTTATGCAAAGAAGAAAGGTTTAGACCCATAGAAGAGGGGTGTGGGCATCCCTAGATGAGTTAGGGTGACTGTGTAAGAAGATGAGTTTAAATCAATGTGAAGGGGAGACCTGGGTGCTCAAGACGATTAGAATTACAGCCTTGGTTAGGTATAGAGAAGAGGTAACTAATGTGAAATACTCGATGTAGGTACACGGTAGGATGATAGGAATGGTCTAGGTTTAAAGAAAGGATTGTGCTTTTGTGAAGATGGGTATGGGTATTGTGGATAGGGCGTTAGTTTATGGGAGAGGGCCTTGATGAAGAGGTAACTAAGGAGGAGGGTCTAGGGATCGGGAAGTGGTTAAGGTGATAGAAGTCTGGATAGTGGAGGTATGTTAGGTCAATGAGAGAAAATAACCAGGAGAAGAGAGAGTTTAATGTGAGGAATCTGGGCATCAGCGGGAGACTTGGTGGTTAGCAGGGGTTGGATGTAAAGGAAAAGGGGGGAATGTCACACCATGTAAGGGTTCCAAAAGTAGAATGGTATTGGACATTGGGGCAGTTTGATTGGCTCAGTGTCAAAAGTTTGAGAGTCTAGGGGAAAAAGCAGGGGCTATGGAGGAGTGTGGCTAGGAGAAACAGGTCAGAAGGGGCTATGTGAGGATTCTGCTAGGTACTTTGGTGAGGGAATGCAGTAGTGTGAGTTGGTAAGGAGTCAGCGGACAGAGATCTAGGTGGAGTGGAGACCATCCAGTGTGATGGCTGGGCCTTGGGGGCCTGCTATGAAGCATGGGAGATGAGGGGATCGGACAGGTTACAAGGGTCTGGTGGGTGGTGTTTGATGCAAATTGAGAGGTGAGACTTGGAATAGAGTCCCTGGGAAGGGACTTCTGGGAAAATGTTCTAATTGTTTTGGGGAGAGAGGATTATTAGGGAGGGGAGGTTGGAATGGAAAAATGTAAGGAAGTTGGAAGGGGAGTGACTTGTCCCTGCTGTCCTCTCTTGCAGCCCAGCACCTTACTGCTGCAATGACTGAGGAGTCCGAGGAAACGGTCCTGTACATTGAACACCGCTATGTCTGCTCTGAGTGCAACCAGCTCTATGGATCCCTGGAGGAGGTGCTTGTGCACCAGAACTCCCACGTGCCCCAGCAGCACTTTGAGCTGGTAGGCGTGGCTGATCCTGGAGTCACCATGGCCACAGAGACAGCCTCAGGAACAGGCCTCTATCAAACCTTGGTACAGGAGAGCCAATACCAGTGCCTCGAGTGTGGGCAGCTGCTGATGTCACCCAGCCAGCTCCTGGAGCACCAGGAGCTACACCTGAAGATGATGGTGCCTCAGGAGGCAGTGCCAGCTGAACCTCCACCCAAGGTGCCCCCGCTGAGCTCCAGCACCATCCACTATGAGTGTGTGGATTGCAAGGCTCTCTTTGCCAGCCAGGAGCTCTGGCTGAACCACCGGCAGACACATCTCCGGGCCACACCCACCAAGGCTCCTGCTCCAGTTGTTTTGGGGTCCCCAGTTGTCCTAGGACCCCCTGTGGGCCAGGCCCGTGTGGCTGTAGAGCACTCATACAGGAAAGCTGAAGAAGGTGGAGAAGGGGCAGCTGTCCCATCTGCAGCTGCCAACACCACTGAGGTAGTGACCGAAGTGGAGCTGCTCCTCTACAAGTGCTCTGAGTGCTCCCAGCTCTTCCAGCTGCCTGCGGACTTCCTGGAGCATCAGGCCACCCACTTCCCTCCTCCTGCCCCAGAGACTGAAGACCTGCTGTAAAGCAGGAGACCCTGACCCCATCTCCTGCAGAGGTGCCTCTGTCTCAACCTGACCTGATGCCAGCCTCTGATCACAGTTATGAGCTGCGCAACGGTGAAGCCATTGGGCGCGATCGCCGGGGGCGGAAGCCCCGGAGGAACAACAGCGGAGAGCCGGGCGGGGCAGCCACTCAGGAGCTTTTCTGCTCAGCCTGTGACCAGATCTTTCTCTCACCCCACCAGCTACAGCAGCACTTGAGGAGTCACCAGGAAGGTATTTTTAAGTGCCCCCTGTGCAGTCGTGTCTTCCCCAGTCCTTCCAGTCTGGACCAGCACCTTGGTGATCACAGCAGCGAATCCCACTTCTTGTGTGTAGACTGTGGTCTGGCCTTTGGCACAGAGGCCCTCCTCCTAGCCCACCGGCGAGCCCACACCCCAAATCCTCTGCATTCATGTCCATGTGGGAAGACGTTTGTCAACCTCACCAAGTTTCTGTATCACCGGCGTACCCACGTGGCAGGGGGTGTCCCTCTGCCTGCGACTCCAGTCCCACCAGAGGAGCCTGTCATTGGTTTTCCTGAACCAGCCCCAGCAGAGACCGGAGAGCCAGAGGCCCCAGAACCCCCCATGTCTGAGGAGAGCGTGGCAGGGCCTGCTGCTCCTGGCACCTACCGCTGTCTCCTGTGTAGCCGTGAATTTGGCAAGGCATTGCAGCTGACCGGCACCAGCGTTTTGTGCACCGACTGGAGCGGCGCCATAAATGCAGCATTTGTGGTAAGATGTTCAAGAAGAAGTCTCATGTGCGTAACCATCTGCGCACGCACACAGGGGAACGGCCCTTCCCCTGCCCTGACTGCTCCAAGCCCTTCAACTCACCTGCCAACCTGGCCCGCCACCGGCTCACGCACACAGGGGAGCGGCCCTACCGGTGCGGGGACTGTGGCAAGGCTTTCACGCAAAGCTCCACGCTCAGGCAGCACCGCCTAGTGCACGCCCAGCACTTCCCCTACCGCTGCCAGGAGTGCGGGGTGCGCTTTCATCGCCCTTACCGCCTGCTCATGCATCGCTACCACCACACAGGCGAGTACCCCTACAAGTGTCGAGAGTGCCCCCGCTCCTTCTTGCTGCGCAGGCTGCTGGAGGTACACCAGCTCGTGGTCCATGCTGGGCGCCAGCCTCATCGCTGCACATCCTGTGGGGCTGCCTTCCCGTCCTCCTTGCGGCTTCGGGAGCACCGCTGTGCAGCTGCTGCTGCCCAGGCCCCACGGCGCTTTGAGTGCGGGACCTGTGGCAAGAAGGTGGGCTCTGCTGCTCGACTACAGGCACATGAGGCGGCCCACGCAGCTGCTGGGCCTGGAGAGGTCCTGGCTAAGGAGCCCCCAGCTCCTAGGGCCCCAAGGGCCACTCGCACACCAGTCACTCCCTCTCCAGCTGCCCTTGGGGGCACTGCCACTACAGCCCCTGCAACTCCTGCCCGACGCCGGGGCCTAGAGTGCAGTGAGTGCAAGAAGCTGTTCAGCACAGAGACATCACTGCAGGTACATCGGCGTATCCACACAGGCGAGCGGCCATACCCGTGTCCAGACTGTGGCAAGGCCTTCCGTCAGAGTACGCACCTGAAAGACCACCGACGCCTGCACACAGGTGAGCGGCCTTTTGCTTGTGAAGTGTGTGGCAAGGCCTTTGCTATCTCCATGCGCCTGGCAGAACATCGCCGCATCCACACGGGTGAACGGCCCTACTCCTGTCCCGACTGTGGCAAGAGCTACCGCTCTTTCTCCAACCTCTGGAAGCATCGCAAGACTCATCAGCAGCAGCATCAGGCAGCTGTGCGGCAACAGCTGGCAGAGGCAGAGGCTGCCGTTGGCTTGGCTGTCATGGAGACTGCAGTGGAGGCTCTTCCCCTAGTGGAGGCCATTGAGATCTACCCCCTGGCCGAGGCTGAGGGGGTCCAGATCAGTGGCTGACGCTTCAGTACCACTGTGCCCTGTTGCTGAAGGCCCTCCTCCACCATCCCTTTAAATCTATGTATATACTGTGCTCCCTCCCCCTCCACCACGTAAGCGCTATAACTGAATTTATTCTCTTTTCTGAAGGGGGTGCTCTGGGGTCCTTGATGTGCATAAATGTGCCACCACACACCTGTTTGGCCCCAAAGTGAAACAGTCAATAAAGACTGAGTTGGACATTTATGTGCTTTTCTCAGACCCAGCTGGAATTTGGGAGTCATGAGGACATGCACTGGGTCTGATTCTCACAGCTTCATTCCCAGCACCCAACTACTAGGTGCTCCTTAAAAACTTGCTGGATTGAAAAGAGGGCTCCCTGGATCCATGGCCATGGCTCTAGGCACAAGCTGTTTTCATGCTAGATGAAGGCAGCTTGGCTCTCCTGCCACTAGAGGTCCCCACAGCCCTGTGAGAAATCTTGAAGCTGCTCCATTTCCATGGCAGGAAATGCCGATAATCTTACCAGCCCTAGCCCTCTCCCTCCACTCCTGCCCTGATTGAGCATGTCTCCCAAAGCCGTCTGGTTTTCTCACTGGATCCCTGAATGCACTCAGGTTGGGCATGATCTCTAGGATAGAAGAGGTAGGTGGCTCCTAAGGCCAGACCCAGCTGCAAAGTTGGAGATTGAAAAATGTGGGGCTAGGGTAGGAACCAGCACAAGGGAAGGTGCCTTGAAGCCTCCCACAAGTGGACTGTGGCTTAGCCATTAGATTCTTGTTGTGGGAGAGGAGTGCTGGGGTGGCTGGCCAATGTTCGAATGTCTAGTACTTTTTTTTTTTTTGGTGGGACTGAGGTTTGAACTTGGGGCTTTGTGCTTGCAAAGCAGGCGCTCTACTGCTTGAGCCACGCCTCCAGTCCATTTTGCTCTGGTTATTTTGGGATAGGGTCTTGAGAACTGTTTACCTGGCCTGGTGATTCTCTGGGCCTCAGTCTCCCAAGTAACTAGGATTACAGGTGTGACTCACCAGCACCTGGCTTTTTAAAAAATTATTGTACTGGGGGTACATTGTGACATTTACAAAAGTTCTTAAAATATTTCAGTTAAATTATTTACCCCTTCTTTTTTTTATTTTTTGATACTAGGGTTTGAACTACACCTTGAGCCACTCACCCCACCAGCCCTTTTTTTGGTGAGTTTTTTGAGATAGGGTCTCATGAACTATTTGCCCAGGCTGGGTTCCAACCACAGTCCTGATCTCTGCCTCCAGAGTAGTTAGGATTGCAGGCATGCGCTACCGGTGCCTGGCCACTTTTTTTTTTAATGGGGGTTTTAAACTTAGAGTTGCTAGGTAGGTTCTGTACCACTCAAGGCAGGCCCTCAACCTCTTTTTGCTTTAGTTATTTTTCAGATAGGGTCTTGAGTTTTTGCCCAAGCTGGCCTGGACCATGATTCTCTTATTTATGCCTCCCTGCGTAGCTAGCTAGGATGACAGATGACTGCCACTGTCCTGGGCTTACTGGTTGATAACTGCCTTGGCTGGCCTCCAACCATGAGCCTCTTGATCTCTGCCTCTTGAGTAGCTGGGATTACAGGTGTGAGCTACCAAACCCACCTAAGTGTCTTCCCCCCCACCACCCAGTACTGGGGTTTGAGCTCAGGACCTCACATTTCTCACAATTGCTAGGCATGTGCTCTGCCACTTGTGCTACTCCACCAGCCCTTCTTGAATTTTAAATAACATTCACAGTAATCCTGTGAAAACATTTTGCAAGAAAGGCCTCTGAAAGAAGCACTGAGGTGACTTGCCCAAGGTTAGTTCGACACACAGCAGAACTTGAATTGAAGTTTGGTTTCATCTGGTTTAATCACCCATATATATACCTTATGCTTTTCTCTCTATTCTGCCGCCTTTTACATACTTGGCAGAGGGTGACAGAGACAGGAGATGAGGGAGTGTGTGACTGGTGGGACTGCTAGTTGCTGTGCTAACCTTGCCTTTAAGACCTCCCCTCCCTCCCGATTACTCCAGATCCTTCTATCGGGAAGAAATCTTATTTGCAACTCCAATACAGGGGAAGTAAAACTGAAGTTCCTTGTATTGAATCTCAGGGATGGCTGTAGGCATAGCTCAAGTGGTAGAGTGCTTGCCTAGCAAGCTCAAGGCCTTGGGTTCAATCCCTAGTCCTGAATAAAAGTGAACAAAAAAAACAGGTGGTGGGAGGGCTGGAGGTCAAAGTCTTGCCCACTGAGCCTGCCTACTACTCTGTGGGCACTCTAGGACCTTGTTTGAAAATTACTCGTTCTCACCTGTTGCTCAGATGAGAAGATGGCTGAGAGGGAAGAGGTTTAACAAGGCCACACAGGCAGTAAGTAGAACCAAGGCCAGAAGTCAGGTTTCCTGGTTATTTTTACAAAATAAAGTCACCTATTTTCTCTCCTAACAGTTCCTATTGAAGAGCAATTCTCAGAAGCAGTTTCCCACCAAGGTGCGTGGTTCTTGGGCACCATGGTCAGTAATGCATACCCTGCAGGAAGGACTTGAACCACTATAGCCAGAATGCCAGATGTCCCTAGTCCCCAGGAAAAAAATGATTGCCCAACTGTTACTCTCTTGAAGAACTATAATACCAAGTAAAAGCTTAGAACAATTGGAAGATTCCTCCTTGTAAAACCAAATATAAACAGGCTGAATGAAGAAAGGGGACAGGAATGGAGGAAAAACCAAAGGGCGCTCTGGTTGGGCACAAGACAAGTGCTTTTAGCACAGAGTAGCCGTGTGATAATTGGGTGGCCATCCTTCCTCCATTGTGTGTTTCTGGAGCCTATAATAGTTTAGATTCCCCTTATGTGTGCAAACGGTTACAAGCAAATTCAGAGAATGCCTTGTTGCCTATCACCCTGCTAAAACTTCCCTGGTCTTTAGTTAAGCCATTGTTGGAGAAAAAAAACCAGCACTTATCACTTGAATGCTGGTGTGGGAGTTGGACAGGGGACTCCCCCTGATTTTTTTTTTGCAGTTCTAGGGCTTGAACTCAGGGCCTACACCTTGAACCACTCTACCAGCCCTTTTTTGTGATGGTTTTTTTTTGGGGGGCGGGGGGATAGGCCATTGTGAACTATTTGCCCAGGCTGGCTTCAGACCTCATTCCTCCTGATCTCTGCCTCCTGAGTAGCTAGGATTATAGGTGTTCGCTGGCCCCTGGTTTCCCCTTAGATTTGTATCCTGCCAGCATAAGCTGGGGTGACACCCAGCAGCAATGTCTATTGTGCACATAATTTTTTTTTTTTTCCCCTTCAGTTCTGGGGTCTGAACTTAGCCCGTGCTTGCTAGGCAGGCACTTTACCACTTGAGCCGTGCCTCCAGTCCATTTTGCTCTAGTTATTTGGAGATGGGTTCTTAAGGACTATTGGCCTGGGCCTTGAACCTCCAGCCTCCCGATCTCAGCCTCCCAAGTAGTTGGTATTACAGGCACAAACCACTGGTGCCTGGCTTGCTTTAAATCTTACCAAAGGATGCATTGTTAGTATTTTTTATCTTACAAAGTTATGAAGCCCCTGTTCTTCTTTCCTTTCTCCTATTCCCCAGCTTTCAATATTAGGCCTTTCAGATTCCAGCACCTTCATACATCAGGATGGAACAGTGACAAGGAAACCAATGGTTTTCTCAGTATATTTTTGTGAAAAGGCTAAGTGTTAGTAAGACAATTTCTGGTTTTCAGCGATGACATCTAGGGGTCAGCCCAGACCTGGACTGTGAAGCTGTTCTTGCCAGTGACTTGTTTGAGATGGGTACAACTGTTTGAGTAATTAGTTAATGTCATTCTAAAACAGAAAACTTCAAAATAATTTCTAGTTTTAAAGGGTCTTTTTTGTCCTCTGGGGAAACATGGAGAGACGGAGGTGGGAAGTAGTTGTTAGTTTTTTGCTTTCTCGTAGTTCTCATTATTGAAGGCAGTGCTGGAGATCTGTCTGTTCTAAGCACTTTATACCATCTCCATTCTCAAAACCCCATGAGGTAGGTTTTGTCCCTGTTTTACAGACACAGCTCACGTATCAAAGGTTATGTATCTATAAAATGGCAGAACTGAGATTTGAATGCAGGAATTTAAACGCATTCTAAGTTTCAAGATTTAGTTTTCTGATTAGTGAAAAAAGCGTTCAGACCTTCTGAACATCCAGTTTGAGCAGAGGTAAGTCTTCCCTCCCCAGCTCACACACTCCTTTCCCAGGACAGAGTCAGGAGATCAAGGGAGAGGAGGCGTCATTTCTTCTCTGTACAGTTTTTAATTTTTTATTTTTTGATGTTTGTTGTTCAGATGAATGACACACTCAAGTTACAAAAATGGGGCCTTAAAAGAAGCACATTGTACAATGAACAAGCAGATTGGAGTTAAGAACACTGAAACACTAACCCGCTACCACGAGAAGAGACAGGGAAGGGGTAGGGAATGGGAGGGGAAGGGCTACAAACATGGGTCAGACAACCAAAAGGGGGCTAGCTCCATGGGAATGGAGGAAAGGCAGGTTACTCCAGGACCTACTTGGTCTTCCTTGCCCACTACTGGCTACCTTCTCCAGGTCTCCCCCACCCCCACTCCAACCTGGTCATTCAAGTAAGTAGGTGAGAGACACCATCCCCAAAAGGCTGAACCAATCAGATCTTTACGAGATAGGGTGGTCACCTGGCCCTAGTGCAACCCTGGATTTGGGAGGTGATGGTGGCAGCTGTGGGGTAAAAGACCAGAAAGGAGCTGGAGGAGCTGATGAAAGACTGCCCCTCCTCCACCCACCACTGTGATCCAAAGGCCCTCTAGTTTTGTCAGAGAAGCCCCAGTCACCCTGCAATTATATAAATAAATAAATACTGAGCCCCTGGGCCTGGGGGACAAGTTGGGGGAGGGCAGCAGGGCTAGAGGAAAGGAAAGAGGAAGGGAAGGGAGGCAGTGGGGGAGGGGTCACAGACATAGTAAATAGTTGTCTCCGTCCCAGCAACACTTCTCTGGAATTTTTTGTTCCTTGTTTGTTTAGCAAGAAGCTAACATCTCAAGGACAAATACTTAAAAATATACATTATTTTTTCTTTTTCTTGCCTTTGTCATCGTCATCTTGCTTTGGAGACTGCTGAGGTCAAAGTTTAAACCGCATGAAGGAACTGCGGCTTTGAGTCTTTGTGTATTTTTTTTAATTTTTATTTTAAATTTTTTCACTTTTTTTTCCCAACGTATAAAAAGGTAGCGGAGTTGTTTGTGGGTTTTTTTTTTTTAAATGGTTAAATCTTTGGTTTGTTTCTTTTTTCTCTTGGAGGCCTTTATCTCTCGCATTTGTCTTTCCCACTCAGAGACCAGTGGGGCCCATGTGTCTCAATCTTGCTCAGTCTATCTCACGCTCACTTTCCCCTAACCTGGGCTAGACAAAGAGAGAGGCACCCTGGGGGTGGGTTGGCTATGAGAAGTCAGGTCACAAAGTCACCCTAACATGGCTAGTTCCAGGGCACAAGGCTTGGAGACCCTCTTGACCTTCCCTGGGGAGATGTGTGGAAAACTCGTACATCCCCCTCCTCCTGATCTTAGCCCCAGCTTCAGGGGCTTGAGAGTCCCGTCCCTACCTACTCTATACACACCCCCAGCCCCGTCCTCTCACTTTCTAGTCTCTCCACCCTGACCCCAGAAGGGAACAGAGAAAGGTGGTTTAGTTACTGGTTTTTTTTTTTTTTTTTTTTTGGCACAATGCAAAGGCCCACCATTAGGGTAGACCCAGTCTCTGTTCCTTCCTTATGTAGGACATCAGGGCTGGGGAGAGGGAAATCCAGAGGAGGGCTTCTTGCCTCAAGCCACTTATCTCTCCTCTATAGCCCAGATCCCTAGCCCCACCTGACATCTAAGCTAGCCCACAGCCTGGCCTGGGGTCTCCCTCCCCGTCCCTACATAAACCACCCCAGCCCTCCAACTCTTGCTCACACACAGACACACGGACATAGGCTCTGTACAGACCACAAAATAAAAACGATGAGATAGTTTTGTTTCCCGGAGTCGAGACGGGGGACTGGAGTGGAAGGGGCCGGTGGGGGTGAGGGGCTAGAATTCCCCCATCACCTTCCCAACCCTGGCCCCCTCCAGCCCCCCAGTCCCTTGCCCTGGCTGGCCCCCAGCCAACGATATTTGGTTTCCTTTTTTTAACATTAAAGTTCTATGAGGTATTTGGTGCCTTATCTCGAGTCCTCAGGGGGAAAGGGGCCCAAGGGGGAGACCTGGGGCTCACCTGCCCCTCCCTCCCTTCCACCCCCTTCCCAATATTTGGTTTCACAGCTGTAGTTAAAGCTTGGAATTTGGTTATTTTTCCCCCTCCCAGGAATTTTTCTTTTTTCTTGTTTTTTCTTTTCCCAGTTGTGGGGGTCAGATTGGGAGGGTCCCCACCACCCCCAGCTGAATGGGGGTCCCTCCACCAATAAAAGGGCATCCGCCCCATCCCTGCCCCTGCTTCCTCCTCTCTTTACCCCACCCCACGCCCCTGCAGGAGAGGTCCCAGGTGGTGGGACTTATAGGGAGGAAGCAGGTTGAAGTGGGTGGTGGTGAGTCCTGGATTTTTTTTTTTTCCTTTTTTTTTTTTTTTTTTCTTTTTTTGGTCTAGAATCATAGTTTTTGTTTGAGTCATCTCCACCATGCCTTCCATGCTGCCTGTCTTCTTGGAGGGGGTTTTTGGTTGTAATTCCTCATACTCTGCTCTGCTCAAACGTCCTTCCTATCTGGTCAGGAGCTCTTGGCCCCCTCTCCACCCTTGAGCTGGGATCCAGGCCCTCTTGTAGCCCCTTTTCAGGAAATTGAAATGGACAAACTCAGAGGTAGGGTGAGGGCAGGGAGTTGCTCAGCGGAGATGCTTACATTCCAGCGAGGATGGGCCCAGGGTCGGAGGGGGCCGCTCCACCACTGCCCAGACAAGGCACCCGAGGCCCTGCAGCGGCCGAGTCTCTGCTGCCTCTGGCCCAGCCTGATAGTTTGGTTTCCCAGGTGGGAGAAAGGAGACCAGAAGAAAAGACAACGCTGAGGCCTGGGGTTCCGGCTGCCTCTCCTCGGAGTGTCCAGTGTGGAGGCCACCAGGGCCAGCTGTCGCCGGCTCTCCCCTCCCTCCGCTCCTGCCCTGCTGGGGCGGGGCCGCTCTGATTTCAATGGCTCACGTCCTTCACAGCAACACTTTGGTTTGAGGAGAGACACAGAAAGAACAAGACTGAGAGAGGTGAGAGAAAAGGACAAGAAGAGGGAGAAGAGAGAGAAGAGGAGAGGGAAAGGAAGGAGAGAGACAGAAGACAGAACAGAAAAGAAAGGGAGAATCAACCACCCGAAAGTTGTTAGTTTTCCTTCGTCCATTCTTTTTGCTTGCCTACTTTTTTTTTTAAAGCTTTTTCAGTTGATTGGGGGGAGCGGGGAGTGTGGGGCTCTTCACCCTTGTCCCTGACACCCTCTCTCAGCCCCACCCACCCGCTTCCGTCCACCCTGGCTGAGGAACAGGCCCTGCCCCAGCCATCCCCCCTCCGGCTTTCCCGAAGACGACGACGTCCATGAGGTATTTGTGAAGAGAAAGAAACATCCATCCTTCCATCCGCCTTAGGGACCAAGGACCTGGACCACTGTGCAGGGCTTGGCTCCACCTCGCGGTTCCTTCTTATTCTTGAGGAGTCCTTGTCTTCTTTCCCTTAATATATGTATATATTTATATATATATATCTATAAATTCTTTTTTTCTAGTTTTTAATTTATTGTTTGTTTGGTTTTCTGTTTTGTTTTTTGTTTTTGTTTTTTGGTTCAAAACTCTGTTGGCCTCCATGATAGCAGGAGGGCAAGGTGGCTCCCAGCAGTGTCTCTCCTCTGTCCATCGCTGAGATGTGATGAGGCCATCAGGACTGGGCAAACACAGGGTCCAGCCAAGACTTGCGGAGATCTCATGGGAGTGGTGGCCACCACAGCCTCCTCTAGGATGGGGACCGCTGGTCATGGCACTGTCCCCGCCACATGGACCCTGATGGGGATGCCATCTGGAGGAACCCACCACTGGGGTGCATGCGTGTGTGCGTGGGGGTGGGGGAAGAGGCATCTGCCAGTGTCAGAGGGACACAGGGTGGGTGGAGCGAGGCGACTTATCTTTTTTGGTTTCTGGTTAATGTCAAAGAACGTGAAGGATCCCACGGATAGGCACTGGAATATGAATTTTTTTTTTTTTTTTTTTTTTTAGGGAAACTGACAGGATGGAAAGAAAGACAACTCGAATGCCCTCACCTCATCCCCTTTTGCCTGAAATGTCCACCTTCCCATAAGCTGGGGCGGAGGTAGTTTCCAGAGCAGAAGAGGGTGACAGGATTGAGAGGGACTTATGAGAGCTGGAACTTGGCAAATTGGCCTAGCCCACCCTTCAAAGAGAAAAGGGAGAAGTACAGGGAGTGAAAAGTCAACCTAGGCCTGCCCCTGAACTCTCCCTGCTGGGGGGAGGGAAGAGGTTAAAGCAAGATCCCTGCCCAGGTAGGGAGAGCTAGGGGCCAGGGGGGAGGGAGACACATGGTAGGGACACATTCTGTTGAGCACAACGCTAAAAATTCTGTACATCCTTTGGATGAAGCTACTGAATATTTGGTGTAAGGTTGTTCAGGCCCTTTTTCTTTCACCTTCTGGAAAAGAACATTTGGCAGGTGGCTCTGGGCCCTGGGGCCTTCAGTCCCAGGCTATGCCCTGTCTCCACTGGCCCAGGACAGGGGCTGGGGCCAGCAGGTGGGCACATTCTCTTTTTCCTTCTCTGCCTCCCACTGAGGGAGGCAAGGTTGGGGGTTGGCCCCACAGCCAGGGCTCTGCAGCATGAGGTCCAACCTGCCAGAAGCTGCTCTGCTCCTGGCTGGGGTTCTTATTTGGTGTCGTAGCCGTGAGGGTGAGAACTCTGAGGACTGGCTCGCAACTGGTTTTTGGTTTGTTTGATTTTGTGAGGGATTCTTTTGTTTGCTTGGTTTTGGTTTTTTGGTTTGTTTTCTTCTCTGGTTCCTTTGGGGCAGCTGGTTTCTGTTGTGATTATTTTTGGTTTTTTGTTGGTTAGTTTCTTCCTTTTTTTTTTTTTTTTGGTTGAATTTTTGGTCTTTCCTCCCTTGTCACTCCTGCTCCAAGGACCCACTGCACTGCATACCCCCACTACTGACCTCCTGGCCCTCTTCCCAGGCAGAAGACTGAGGTGGGGGGGGGTCAGAGGAGTGGGAGGGGAGGCATGGCAGGCCCTCACTCAGGCTTGGACCCTGCCTCGGGTCCCCCTGGGCCTCCAGGGGTCTGTGCTGCTGCCTCACTGCAAGTGGAGGAGGAGGAGGAAGATGAAGAGGATGAGGAGAGGCCAGGAGACTTGCTGGAGATGGAGGCCGCCACGGCCGCAGCTGCTGCTGAGACCAGGCCCACACCTGGCGGGGCGCTGAGCAGGGGCAGCCCAGCGTGGTTCAAGAAGAGCGGCGAAGTCACCAGGCCAGGGCTCCCTGGGGCTGCGCTGGCCGCCCCCAGCACCAGGTTCCCGCTGCCATCAAGGCTGGTAAGGGGCAGGGTTCCACCAGAGGCCAGGGCTGGTGGGGAGAGAGAGAGGCTGGGCTGGGGACACACCAGGCTGGGTGACCTTTGCCTCCCCGTTTCCTGCCTGAGTGCCTCCCGTTGGTCTCCCCGTTTGTACCACTGACCCCGGTCAGCACCCCTCACACCTTCCCCAGAAGTGAGATGGGGATGAAGAGGCGAGCGATGCAGTGAGCAGGGGCGGGATGGCATGGCTGGAGCAGCAATGAGGGGGCTCAAGGCCCTGGGGGGCAGGACTGGTGGCGATGGGAGTGACATGAGGCAGCACGCACCTTGGATAGTGGCCAAAGGGTTGTTGCTCATGAGGGCTGGACTCAGCCCGGAGCTCAACCCCACCATTGTGCTTCTGCAAGAGCAAAGCAGACGCATTAGCGGCGACAGGGGGGTGGGGGGACCACAGTAGACCAGCGTGCAGCTCCCCACCCTGAAGGAAAGCAGCAGTGACCTCCTGCAGCTGCACACTTACCCCGTGCTGGGGCTCAGGCCCGACAAGCCGATAGCAGAGTGGCTGCCTTGAGGGCTGGGGTTTGTGCTGTTGGTGGTGGCCGGGGGTGGGGGAGTAACAGAGGGGATGGAATTGAGGGGGGGTGCGGCTCCGCCCCCACCCCCACCCCCTCCAGCTGTCCGGCTGGGGTGGAGTGTCCCCACAGCTGAGGATAAGGTAGTAACTGCCAGAGAGAGAGACAGAGAGATGGTGTCTTCAGCTTCCACTCATCCCCCATGGGAGAAGCTGTGGTCAGCTCCTGCCTGTCACCCTGCCAACTCACTCAGCAGGACCCAGACCTTCCTGCCCCCTTCCCAGACAGACAGCAGCCACAATAATCGCAGTAATAACCACTGCCACCTATTGAACCTGTGTCCTGGGCCAGGCATGCATTGGCTCTCGGCATACCATGTCCTGAACCACTCTGACATGTACAAGAAATGGGGTGCCCAGGAGACACAGCCTACGGCTCCCTCTAGGAGCCAGAGATTTGGCATGGGGTGCAGGCAAGGCAGGAAGGGCTGAGGGCCAGACTGCCCTGTCTAGGACAGAGATTTCCAACTAGTCCCAGCTGAGCCCTGGGGTGAGTGCCTTAGCCTCTCTGGCCTTCAGTTCCTCCATCCAGAAAATGGGGATAATAATAATCAGGTCTATCTTATTAATTATTAATATAATTATAATATATTTATTTATAAATTTATTAAATAAATTTATATTTATTAAATATAATAATTATTATAAATGCATATGAGAATTAAGTCAGATAATGTAGTCTATAAAAAGCTTGGAATAGTGCCAGGATCCCTCTACTACTTTACAAATCTCCACTTAATATATTCATTTCTTAACCTGACAGGGCAATATGGCACTTGTTTTACATCCTTCTTTTGAGTGGGGCTGGTACTGGGATTTGAACTCAGGGCCTTGTGCTTTGCTAGGTAAGTGCTCTACACTTGAGCCATGCCCTCAGCCCTTTTGGCTTCAGTTTGCTTTTGATAGGGTCTCATGCTTTTGCCTGGGCCAGCCTCAGACCTTGAGCCTCCTACCTCCGCCTCCCAAGTAGTTGAGATTACAGGCATGGCCACCATGTCCAGCTCATTTTTTTAAACATTGCTGGGGATGAAACCCACAGTCTAGGCAAACTACTACTGAGCTTCATCCACAGCTCCTTATATCTATATACTTATGCATATATCTTCTGTATGTATTATACAATCATGATAATTTTATAAAAACTGAGGCTCACAGAGGTACATACAGAAACTTCTCAAGTTCACATGGCTTATAAACAACAGAGGCCAGGGGGAAAAAAACCAAGTGTGTCACCTTTTAGCAACCCCATGCTTTTCTCACAGGAAATCACAGAGCAGATTAGAGCCCACAGCGCTGGCAAAGGAGCAGGGCCTGCCCTTTGCCCTCTGCCCTCTGCCCTCTGTCTTTCATATGCCCTTACCACCCTGAGACTCAGCCTTGAGGCCCATGTCCACCCAGAACCACTGAAAAACCTCAGACTGCAGCCCATGCAGTGTCCCCCCAGTTCCCTCACTGTCTGCTGCCCCCCACCTCTGACCTGTTGTGCTCAGACTGCTGGAAGCTTGGGACAATGGTAGGGTCCCTGCACCCCCTTGGGGTGTGACCTGGGGAGAGAAGAAAGGAAGTACAGTTAAGCCCATCTCCCAGCAACCCCTATGAAACCCCCTATATACGCAGTCTCCACCCCCCTGGGCCTAGGATCATATATGGAAAGAGGGGGCTTTGGGTACAATGCCACCTTTGTGTCATGTTGGGCCCTTTCCATTGTATCTTTCCTCACATTTGTCCTAGGTGATCCTGGACCACAAGCAGGACTCATTCTCAGTTGAGCGGGTTCCTACCTCTCTTCTGACACTAGCTAGCCTGACTGAAGTCCTTGCTGTGCTGGGTCCTGTTTGCAATGACTGGACTTGAAAAGCAGCTGCTCCTGCTGCCCTTGCCCATGCCTACTTAAGAGGGGATGGCAAGGCAAGAGAAGCTGTTCAGTGTTATCCATGCAAAGAATAAGTGTGTGTGTGTGTGTGTGTGTGTGTGTGTGTGTGTATAAACCGATGCAAATCCTTGCACGAGATGGGTGGGAAGTCATATCACTTGACTTTCTGGGATTATCCACAGGCCTCCTTTGTGGCCTCCCTGCCTCCAGACTCACCCTTCCATCAGCCCTGAAGCCTGACTGAATTTGACTCTGTTTCTCCCTGGCTCAGAATCTCACCTTAGTTCCTCATTGCCTGTGGTTCAAATTCAAACGACTTTTCATGAAAGTTTGGGTGTCTGCCCCTGCCCCTCCCCCACCTCCACCCTATTCACATACATGGCAGCTCCAACCACACTAACATGAACTGGAGTCCATCCAAATACACTTGGCACACCACACCCTGGTGTCTAGGTCTTTGCATACACTGTGCCTTTCATCTGGGAGGCCCTTCTCTTCCTTCATATGGAAGCTAACTCTCTCTTGTTCTGTATTACTCAGCTCAGAGGGTCCCCCCTACTCCACACTCCTGGGGGTGAGGGCCTCCTCCCTAAACATCACAGCCCTTTCCATGAATGGAAATAAAGGATTTTCCAGTCATGTCTAATACTGAGTGTGCCTGTGTGTGGCTGTGGTCCTGCGAATACTCCATGGATCTAATGATGCCCCTGCAAGGTAAGTAAGTGCCTCTCCCTGCCTGTGTGGGTATGAACCTGCATATCCCTACCTGGATCATGTCCTAGACATCAGTATCCATCCCCATGTGGCTAGTTCCTTGTGATAACTGTCTGGCTATGTCACTGTGTATCTGTAGGTGCTTGTAGCCCCCACATGAGACCATAGTTCAAGACAGGCATGGTGGTACCCATCAGTAATCCCAGCACTAGGGAGGCTGAGGCAGGAGGATTTCGAGTTCAAGGCCAGTCTGGGTTACAGAGTGAGTTCAAGGCCAGCCTAAGCTACATAGGGAAACCCTGTATCAAAACAACAAACAAACAAAAAACCAGCCAACAGTTCCCCCCGAAAACTGTGTGTCCCTGTGTGACTGTGCTTCATATATGACAGCCCACCCTCTAGACAGGCCTCTGTTCTAGGCTCTGTGGACAATCAGATAGGTTTGCTTTACACAGGTGCTTGCGGGGGTCCCCCCCAGGGCTGTCGGTACCAGGTGAGGGCTGTAGCTGGCCGGCTTCCCTGGGCTGGGCAACATGGGAGCCGCGCTGCAGGGGTTGATGCGTTTCTCCTTTTGGCGTCGGTTGCAGAACCAGACGCGGATCACCTCCTTTTCCATGTGCAGCTGCTCGGCGATCAGCAGGATCTCCTCTGAGGTAGGCTTCTGGTTCTGCAGGCAGAAGCTCTTTAGCCTGGGCCCTTCCTCCGGCTGCCCCTCCGGGCCGCCCTCGAGGGTGGGGCCTCACCGCTAGAAAACTCTTCTCTAAGGCGAAGCGGACGTTTGTCTCTATGCTGGTCCTCTTCTTGCGTCTCCGGCCGGGCAGCCCGTCGAAACCCATGCTGGGGCTGCTCAGCTGGTTGGGGCTGGGCAGGCTTGAGTCCACAGACATAGTCTCTGCGCCCGGGAAGAGACGTGGGCGTGAGAGCTCGCCTCGGGGGCCGCCGGCCGCCCCCTCCCGAGAGCCTCAGCCCAGGCCCACCTGCATCGTTGAGCCACTTCTCCAGGAGGGGCTTGAGTTTGCACATGTTCTTGAAGCTCAGATTGAGGGCCTCGAAGCGGGAAATGGTCGTCTGGCTGAAGTCGTTGCCATAGAGTTTGCCCATGGCCAGGCCCACGTCACCCTGATTCAGTGGGGCAGGGACCCGGCAAAGGTCAGGGCGGGGCCCTCCGCCAGCGGGCCACGCCCCCACAGTCCATCGACTGGTCCCACCCCTCGCCCCGCCCCCAGGGTGGCCCCAGACCTGCGTGAAGCCCAGCTTGATGCGGCGTTGCTTGAAGGTGCGGGCAAACTGCTCCAGCTCTTCCAGATCACTGGGCTCCTCGGGGTGGGATGGTGGTTCCAAGCATTTGGGGGGCTGCGGGTGTGAGAGGTGCGGATCGGGCAGCGTGGGGCGGGTCACGGCCTGGTGGGGCGGGCAGGTGGATGGGATGCAGGGCGGAGGACCAGGATGGGGCTCAGGGATGACTGCACGGTCCCTGCTCCCTCCCTTCGGTCCAGCTGCTTCCTGCAGACTCTCCCTCCACATTCATCGTCAATACCGTTAAAGGTTTAACTGCTACCTCACATGGATCTTGTAATTGCCTGGAACTCTGCACTGTCCCTTCCGGCCTACAGCCTCTCTGCCTGAGAACCTGTGCTACGGGATTGCTGGGTAGCCCGGGGTAAGTGTCTTAACTTCCCTGGGCTCACTTCCTCCTGGAAGCCATCATTGCTGCTCTGCCTGCCCACTGGGTTGTTGGAAGAATCAGGTTAAAAATAACTGGGTTGTTCAAACCCATAGGCATAGAGTGAACCCTAATTTTCCAACTGTGAACTTCAGGTTGGAGGTGTGGCTCAAGCAATAGCGTTCCTGCCTAGCAAGCTGGAAGCCCTGAATTCAAACCGCAGCACCATCAAAACAAACAAAATGAACAAAAGTCATAAACTTCGGTAAGATGATGCAGCAGCACAGGTGCAGGGACCAACATGTGCGCCACTGGGATTGAAGGTGTTGATCACGGAAGAGGATGTGCATGTGGGGGCAGGGAGCAGATGGGATCTCTCTATCTTCCATTCCGTTTTGCTAAAACTGCACCAAAAAACTTAAGTCTTGGGCTGGGCACACTGGCTTATGTGTGTAATCCAGCTTCTTGGGAGGCGGAGGTCAGGATTGCAGTTTGAGACCAGCCCTGGCAAAAGGTTATGGAAAACTCCATCTCAACCAATAGCTGGGTGAGGTGGCACCTGCCTGCCATCCCAACTGCCTGGGAAGCTTAAGTAGGAAGGTCTTGGTGAGGCTTGCAGGAGGAAAAATTCACACTATCCCAAAAATAACTAAAGCAGAATGGAATGGGAACATGGTTCAAGTGTTAGAATGCCTGTCTAACAAGCAAAAGGGCCAAGTTCAAACTCCAATATCATACACACAAAAAAATTAAGTCTTAAAAAATGAGTAGTTTGAGTCAGGCGCCAGTGGCTCACGACATCAGCCCAGGCAAATAGTTTGTGAGACCCTCATCTCTAAAATAACCAGAGCAAAATGGACTGCAAGTATGGCTCAAGCGGTAGAGCACCTGCTTCACGAGCATGAACCCTTGATTTCAAAAACAGTTCCACCAAAATATAGGAGAAAAAAAGTAGTTTGCAAATAAAGCAAATGCATAAAAAAGAGATAGAGTGAACAATTAGGGGAATGGAGAAAGAAGCAGCAGGTCTATCTGAAATGCTTCACTGCCCTAAAAATAAAAGGTCTGAAGCAGGTGGTCAGTGCCCATTATTTTTGACCCAAAACCTAGGGCCAGATGTGTTTTGGAAATGAGAGGTTTTCAGATTTTTAGGAAGCCCACCCAAGGCATATATCCTAAAGAATGTGAGCCCCTCCACATGGTCAAGGTATCACCTTGTAATCAGTCACAGTAGCAGTTTTGGAGCAGTAAGAACAGCATACGAAGAGGAGTAAGGAAAAGTTATACACTGCCCCATGTCAGGCAGGGAAGCTTTTGCAGCCAAATGAGTTCTGGTGGCAACATCACAAGAACACCCTGACTTTCAGAGCTTTTTGCATTTCAGCACTGCAGCTAAGACCTGTACTTACTGGTTTCTATAGTTTTCAGTCTTTTTCTTTTCTTCCTTCCTTTTTTTTTTTTTTGGTGGACTGGGGTTGGAACTCAGGGCCTCACACGTGCTCTTACCACTTAAGCCATTCTGCCAACCCAGTCTTTTTCTTTTTTCTTTTTTCTTTTTTTTTTCTGGTGGTACCGGGTTTTGAAATCAGGCTTGCTAGACAGGCGCTCTATCACTTGAACCACTTGTTTAGCCCTTTTTATTTTAATTGTTTTATTTGTTTATTTGTGTGTGTGTGTGTGTGTGTGTGTGGCACTGGGGTTTGAACTCAGGGCCTTCACCTTGAGCCACTACACCAGTCCTTTTTTGTGATGGTTTTTTTCAAGATAAGGTCTCGAGAACTACTTGCCTGGGCTGGCTTTGAGCCATGATCCTCCTGATCTCTGCCTCCTGAGTTGCTAGGATTACAGGCATGAGCCACCGGCACCCAGCTTATTTTAGTTATTTTTCAGACAAGGTCTCACCCTTTTACTCAAGATCCTCCTATCTTTGCCTTCTGCCTCCTAAGTAGCAAAGATTACAGGCATGAGCCACCCTACCTGGTCCAAAACTTTTCAGTTTTTCTGAAATAGTTCTTATTTCTTTTCATTTTTGGTGCTGGGGATTAAACCCAAGTCCTCAAGCACACTAAGCTACTCCACCACTGAACAACTCCACCCAGCTCTTATAGGTTTTTTTGAAAGGGCTATAAAATCGTTCGGGAAAAAAACTGTGAAATACATCAAGGGTTGTGAAAGATTCTTAGTAAGGCCTAGAATGCAAGCAGCAAACTGAAAGACCTTGGGGTCCTGGCAAGAGGATGCTGAGGTGAGCTGGAGAGATGGTACCCTTCCTAGAAAGCCACTGCTCACTGCCACCACGCGTCATGTGGACATAGAGCCAGTCTTGCCAGATCTTCTGGTTTGTGAAGAGAAGCTGGAAGTCTGGTGCTCTCTGGGAATTAAGTTGATAAAAGCCACATAAAACACATCTGTGCTACTTGAGAGGTAGAAATAGGATCATGGTTCAATGCCAGGCCAGGCCAAAGGGCCATATCCTATGTTAAATAACAAGCTTGGTGTGGTGGTCATGCCTGTAATCCCAGGTATGAGGGAATCTACTGGTGGCCTGGGCAAAAATTCATTTCAGACATTATCTGAAAAATAACTAAAACAAAAAAGGCCGGGGAGATGGCTCAAGTGGTAGAGGTCTTTCCTTGCAAGCACAAGACCCCAAGTTCAAACCCCAGTACTGCCAGAGGGAAAGGGGCACAAAAACCCCCATCTGTGGGCCCTTTTCAGTCTCTGGTCTGGGAAATGGACATGAATGAGCATCAACAGATGTCTTGCTCAGAAAATGCTGTAGCTGCAGTGCTGAAAGAGACTGAGGTACTCCTAAACTACAGGGTTGCAACCCCATGAAATGTCTCATTTTTGTGCAGATGTACATTTGGGGTTTGGGGGATCTGGTCTCTTTCATCAGATTCTCAAAGGAGTCCATGGGCGTGGAAGAGTTAAGAGCCACTTAACTCTGGTTGGCTTCCCTCATTCTACACAGGCCGAGAGCTGACCTTGGCTCCCACAGCCAATCAGTGGCAGAGTAGGGCTGGGTCCCAGGTCCCAACTACTTTGCTTGGCCTGGGTGGCTGTGGAGTGGTCCAATGGAGAGGGGCCTTCCCTCCCCACACACCACCCCCATTCACTCAGCCCGCTCACCTGTGTGGGAAGCCCAGCCCGGGGCTGGGAGGTCAGAAGAGCTCCCTGGGTTTGCTGAGGTAGCTGGAATAGATTTGGCGTTGGTAGCAGGCCTGAGGAGATAAGAAGAAACACACAAGGTGAGTGGGGAAGGGAGAGGTGGGTGAAGATGGAGAGGCATCAGGGAGCCATCGTGGGGGTCTTACCTGGCTGACTCTGCTGGGCCTGTGGCAGCAGGAACTGAGCAGGTGGCTGGAGGTGGTGGCCTGGCACAAGCACCAGCTGCTGGAGCTGGAGAAGCTGCTGTATGTCCTGGCAGGAGGGGTGGACAGAAAGACAGCCTGAATTCAGGCCAGGTTTCTTCCTCTGTATCTCCCCAGCCTAGAGGGTATGAACACAGGGACCAGGCAGCCTGGCATTGCACAGCGAGCCAGGCTCTGAATGGCACCCTGAACTGAGGGCACCCAGGGGCTTCCTTCCACAATGGGGCACCAGAAAGTTCTATCTGGGCAACCCCAGGAGGGCTTGCTCTTCGTTTGCTTTTTCCTTCCTGCTCAAATATTTGCCTTGTCTTACATTCCCACAGAACAAATAGACTTGTTTTAAATGTAAACCAGGCCAAGTCTTCCCTCTTTTTAAAACGCTCCTGAGGCAAATAATGTGCTGTCTGGAATTAGTGTTAAAATACTCTAGCAAATAGTGGGTGTGTAAATTGGCAGGACCACTTTGGGAAACTGTCTGACACTGTTGTAGTTTGAAAAAAGGAACTGTTTTGAGTCCTAACTCCCAGAACCCTAGTGTGTGAATTCACTGGGAAAATGGGTCTTTTCAGATGGTCAAGTTAAAGTGAGGTCACTAGGGTGGGCTGGGATCCATGATGGCTGATGGTCTCATCAAAAGGGCAAATTTGAACACCGAGACAGACAGGGGAGATGAGAAAAGACAGTGGAAGATGACCATCAACAAGCCAAGGAGGCTCTAACACCCCCAGTGTTAGAGCACTTGCCTACTATGTGCAAGACTCTGGGTTCAATCCCCAGTACTGCAAAAACAAACAACAAAAACAAGCCAAGGAGAGTTCTGGAACAGATCCTTCCTCAGAAGCGACCAACCCACCAACACCTTGATTTCAGACTTCTGGCATCCAGAACTGCAAGATTGTAAGTATCTATTGTTTAAGCCCCTCAGTTTGGCATTCTTTGTTACAGCAGCCTGAAAAACTGACATAGGCACTATCTACTGAATTTAAGCCTACACCTGCCTTAGGAGTCAGCAATTCCACTGCTGGGTCTAAACCACCATAAATGGGTATGCCTACAAGGCACGTTGGAGAATGTATGTGCAGACCATCTGAAATAGCCAATACCTGAAGTCAGCCCAAGCGCCCCTTGGCAATGGATGGGTAAGGACCCTCTGAGTGAAGGAATGCTGAAGCAGAGAGAACCAGCCACCTACAATCTATAGTCACATGCAACTATGTAAACCTGTCAAAGACACTAGTCTCCACAGAGAATTTCCTGTATGATTCTATTTATGTTCCATTTGCACATTAGAAGCTTGGGGGTCTTCTGGATAACAGTTAAGTGGGTGTACTCAGGGAGTATTCATTGAGCTGAATACTTATCATTTACACACTTTTCTGTATTTCTAGACCTGTGTGTGTGTGTGTGTGTGTGTGTGTGTGTGTGTGTGTGACTGGGGTTTGAACTCAGGGCTTCACGCTTGCAAAGCAGGTGCTCTACCACTTGAGCCACTCCACCAGCCCAATTCTGTATTTCATATATATAGATAGATAGATAGATAGATGGATAGATATAGATATAGATATTTGGTAGTACTGGGCATTGAACTCAGGGTCTTGCACTGCAAGGCAAGGGCTCTACCACTTTTGCTTTCTTTAGTTTTGTTTTTCATGTAGGGTGTCAAGCTTTTGCCGGGGCCAGTCTCAGACTGAGATTCTCCTATCTGTGGCCTCCACATAGCTGGAGTCACAGGCATGCACCACCATGCCCAGCTTAATAAAAATATCTTCAAGGGGAATGAGGCAAGGAAAAAAAGAAAGCTTTCCCCCCCAAAAAATGAGGCATATATATGAAATCCTACTTGCCAGTAAGTCTGGCAAAATGTTGATATCTGCTGAGCTAAATGAAAGGTATGTGGGGTTCACTATATCATTCTACTTTTATGTTTGAACATTTCCAAAAGGAAAAGAAAAACCTGAACAGGTAGCACATGCCTGTTATTCCAGAGCTCTGGAGGCTGAGGCAGGAAGATCATGAGTTTGAGGCCAGCCTGGGCTGCATAACGAGATTCTGTATCAAAAAAAGAAAACCTCCCTTATACACCCAGATATACAACACAACACAACAATTCAATCACATCTTCTCACCTGGCCCTTTCTACTGAGGCCTGTGCTGGTTTCCCTGACCTCAACTCCTTCTGCTCTCTCCCTCACTGGCTATGCCTCAGCCATCTAAACTTTTTCTGTTTTTTCAAGTACACCAAGCTTATTCCTGCCTCAGGGACTTTACATGTGCTGTTCCCTGTATAGGCAGTTCTAGTTCTTACACAAACTGTCCTCCTCAGAGAAGCCCTCTTTGACACTTAATTTTAGCCAGCCATCACCTTCCTTCATCATTCCCCTTTCATCTTTGTAAGATACCACATTTCAAGGCATGGCACTTTGTTTCCTCCTTCGTGGTGCACCACCCTGGCTGGAATGCTGGCTGCATGAGAGTGATCTTGACTCAGTCAGCACCTAGAACAGTGCCTAGCAACCAGTAGGTTCTTTGCATGTATGTATTGTGGACCAAGACTAATATTCATTTACTTTGCAAAAAAAGTAAAAGTAACTTTCTTTTGGTGGTATTGAGGTTTTAACTCAGGGTCACATGCTTGTTAGGAAGCTCTCTATGACTTGAGCCACAGCTCCAGTTCCTCCCCCCACTTTTTTGCTTTAATTATTTCTCAGGTAGGTTGTTGCATTTTTGGCTGGCTGGCTTTGAACTGTGAAGTAGCTGGGAATATAAGCGTGAGCCACCACACCAGACCTTCTTTGCAAATTTCATGTATACACAGTCGAAAGCCATAAAATGTTATTTTCAATTCTTTCCTTCTTGGAAATTGGTGTGGGGGGGTTGTGATACATGCCCCTCAATTTCTCTCAGTACTATTATTATGCTGAAGACCAATTTAATGTCCTAGGAAGGGAACTAACTGGGAAGAAATATAGGTAACTTGACAGAAAAGGCTCAACTTCTCTAATATATAATGAGCAATTATAAATCCGTTAGAAAAATAAAAATAAAACCTGGTACAGCTAGGTCTGGAGTGTTCTCAGCAAAGGAAACACAAACAGTTCGATATGAAAATCCATTCAGATCACTCACAATGAGTTTAAAGAACCACGACTATAAAAAGATACTATTTTTACCCCTTAGGTTAGCAATGATAAAAACAGTGTGACACACTGATGAGACTGTGGAGAGACAAACACCTTGCGCATTGCTGGGGAGGGATAGTTTGAGAACATCTATCAAAATTATAAAAATTAGGCTGGTGGAATGGCTCAAGCAGTAGAGTGCTTGCCTAGCAAGTGTGAGGTCCTGAGTTCAAATCCCAGTACCACCTACACCACCAAAAAAAAAAAAAAGAATTCCATAGTTATTAAGTATGGTGATTAGAAAAAAAATTACAGTACCATTCATTTGCTTATTTTTTAGACAGAGTCTTCCAATGTATTTCAGACTGGCCTCAAACTCATGATCCTCTTGCCTCAACCTCCCAAGGGCTGGAATTATATGTGTGTCTCACCCTACCTTCAGCCATTCCAGTGCTAAAAATTTATTTTACTACCATCCTGACTTATTTGTTGAGGTGGGGTCTTGCTAACTTTTTGCTCAGACTAGCCTCAAACCATGATCCTCTTGATCTCAGCCTTCCACGCAGCTGGGATTACAGGTGTGTACCACTATAACGGGCTTCTTTTTCTTTCAAAGATCCTGCAATCTGTATACTCTTCAGACCCCACAAGAGGACCACCCTGCTCTGTGCTGCACTTCTCACAGGGTGTCACATTTTCTGATGTGGGTTCTTCCTCAGCTAGACTGAGCTTCTAACAGTTAAAGGCATGTCTTTCTCTTCATGTATCTCTAATCCTTAACAGAGTCTGGGAAGCCCCTACTAAAGTGCCTACTGAGTTGAGTCAAGTGATTAAGACCAGAAATACAGTTCTGTAGCTAGTATTTCTCTGATTCGCTATGATCCTTAGTGTGTTCATTAAAACATTTGTTGGAGCTGGATGTCATGGCTCATACCTGTAATCCTGGCTACTCAGGAGATAGAGACAGGAGGATATTGGTCCAAGGCCATCTCAGGCAAGAGCATGAGACCCTATCTGAAAAACAAACTAAAGCAAAAAGGGCTTGGTATGTGGCTCAAATGGTACAGCATGAGCCTAGCAAGCATGAGACCCTGAATTCAAATTCTAGTACCATCAAAAAAAAAATTGTAAACTCATGTTTCTCCCTAGCAGGACTCTCAGTGAAAAGTCCCCTTCTCCACCCCCCAAATCCTAAAAGAGAAGTGTCTTTTCATTCTGAACTATCAGGAAAAGAAAGGATGAAGGAGGGGAAAAGTGCCTTCCAGATTGCATAAAGTCTTATAGTGAGAGGTCCAGATGAAAAACATTTAACCACAGCCCCATCTAGCTGCTCAGAGCAAGACTCAGGGGTCAGCCTTCCCTTCCTCTCCCCCATCCATCCAACCCCTTCTCACTTCCAATTAGCTTCCTCTATTTCTCTTCCTCTCCACTGTCACGGTCCTGTTCCAAGCCATGGGTCATCTGTCCTGGACAACCCATTCTCCTTGAGCACTCACGGGAGTGTCTAATACAATGGAGTTTTGAACTTTTTTATGCTGTGATTTTTCTTTTGGTATCCGGCATCCTGTCATGCCTTTCTCAGAATTAAACACATACACATGTGCACACACACACACACAAACCCAGCAAGCTGAGCACCGCGGCATGTGCTTATAGTCCCAGCATTCAGGAAACTGAAGCAGAAGGATGCTTGAGCCTATGAGTTTGAGACCAGCCTGGGCCACAAAGTGAGATCCCATGTAAAAAAGAAAAATAAAACGTGAGATAAAATACTTAGAATTTCAAATGAAAGCAATTACATTGAAATACAGTCATCAAACATATTTCAAACTGTGATATAGTAATCTGTGAGCTTCTTTATTACTACAGTAAATAACAAGATCCACAGCTTTGACGATGACTGTAATTCCAAAATAGTGAGGAGTGAAAA